CTTATCAAGTCACTCAGCTACAAGTGAACCTAAATATCAACACTACTGAGCAGTTAATGGTTGAATCATTCAATCAACACTTTTGTTTATTCTGTAATGCCTTTCTCCGCATCAGATCTTGAACAGCTAGCGATTCTCAACTGATTGTCCACATTTCGATTTTCAGGTGTCATATTTCAAAGGTTCTGCATATTTGGCCCAGTCTCCACAACTTTACAAGCAGATGGCTATTGCTGGCGATTTCGGAAAGGTACTCAAGCATAACTGATTTATGACTTGATAAGCTATGTAGTTTTATTCAGGTGTTCACCATCGGTGGTGTGTTCCGAGCTGAAGATTCTAACACTCATCGACACATGACAGAGTTTGTGGGACTTGATCTGGAGATGGCCTTCAACTTCCATTATCATGAGGTTTGTTGCTTGTTCGACTTTTGTAGTTTAATGTTTGATCCGGCACCCTCCTTATTTCGTTCTGTTTGCTTTATCTGCCTGCTTGAACCGCGTCTCATTCTTTTCGTTCACGCTCCGCGCCAGAACGAGGATAGGGCTCGTACCTTTCGCATTCCTATTCCTTGGGCCTCACTGTTGTCGTCTACTTTTTTTCCTTATATGTAATTGCATCGCAGGTGGTTGGAATAATCGTGAGATCGAGAACCGTTCTCTTCATCCTGAAACATATTCAATAGAGCTACAAAGAGACTATGCAGCTGAAATTGAAGCGGTGGGGCGACAATATCCTGCGGAACCTTTCGAATTTTGTGAGCCGGCACTCATTCTGAAGTTCGTTGACCGTCTCGATTGTTTTTTTTCCCGAATCTTCATCATATTTGACCATTATGTTGTTTTTTTAGATATCCAGATGCAGTGAAAATGTTGCGTGAGGATGGTGTTGAAATGGGCGATGAGGATGATCTTAGCACCCCTGTGGAGAAGCAACTAGGACGTCTCGTCAAGGTGAGATCTGCGCAGAAATGGAACGCCTATAGTTTGATGTGGCCTAACCTTTTCCTCAAAGGCAAGTGGCACGATAAATCAACAAGTTGTATAGGGCCTAGCACTAAGTAATTTTTGTACCCCTGAGCAAGCTCTGCGTGGCATCTTTTCCAACCCAATGATGTCGTTAATAGCGCCTAGCCGAGGTGCAACTTGTCTACCCAGGCACCATTGCACGCTCGCCCAAAAAGGGCCGCATTGCTGCACTATTGATAGCCATATTGCTGCTGATGCTCCTATCTTAACTCATGGAGTATCTTATGATATCTTCATTTATGAAGTACAACAGACATGAAGTATCTGCGGTGCTTCACTACGTGCAGCCCTGTCTACTGGAGCTTCGCTTGGCTTAATTCCAACGGGGAACTCGTCCAAATTGCTTCTTGTCAGCGGTATACTCGCCCTGTGTCGTGCAGAGCAAAGGCTTTTTCGCGGTCTTATGACCGTTTCACTTCGCTTTTCTTCATTTTCTCCCACTCTATACCACACCTGATACCATTTTAGACAAAGAACCAAACTATCGTGTCTATGCTCAATGCCTTTGAGGAATGAGCCAGTAAGTGGATTAGATAGCGCTCTGAGGAGATCAGAACGGGCTGGATAGCTCGTGACTTCTTCAAGACTAGCGTGCTTTATACAAAAAACACCATGAATTCATTTTATAGGTAGCTTTAGGTTTTGGTTGATCCATTGATCCACTTTTTTCAGGAGAAGTACAAAACAGATTTCTTCATTCTGGATAAGTTCCCCCTAGCTGTACGTCCGTTCTATACTATGCCAGATCCTCATGACGCTAGGTATTCCAACAGCTACGACATGTTCATGAGAGGTGAGCATCTTGCATCCCGACGTGAATCGCCTGATGCCTGCCTAGTCTCATATATTAATTATTAGGCTGTTTATTTGTTGACTTGTTCGGTATTCTAGGTGAAGAGATTCTCTCTGGAGCCCAACGAATACACGATGCAGACTTCCTCGTTGAACGAGCTAAGCATCACAATATTGAACTAGAGAAGATCCAGGCCTATATTGATTCATTCAAATACGGATGTCCACCACACGCTGGCGGTGGAATTGGTACGTTCTCCTTATTATTTGTTCGAAAGAGTGCTCACTTCACAAGAAAATTTTCTGTTTCCCTGACGTTTATCTGGGTCCAATTGTCGCAACACCTTTTGGGACCTCTCCTTAGAACATTTTCCAGAATTCAGCGTCAAGGTCGTATTTATCATTACTATTGTCCAACCACCATTCTTCTTTTGATTAGTCAACTTGTTTGACAGATTTCGAAACGAACGTCAACGATGAGTGTGTAAGAATGATGACAAACGCGCTCTACCGCTAATCGTAAATCCGCGAAATTGCACAATCGCACGACCAGCTTTTACTAGTTAGATCCCATATGAATCACGTATTTCGCGATTTGCATGTGAGCTGCCAAACAAGGGATGCTGAATATGCTCCTCTTTAGCATTTTCATGAGGGTTCTGATTTCCATTTATGTCCCATGCCCCACCTCTTTGCAATTGCACAATCACACGATATCAAATGCGAAAGAATGGAAGCGAATAGACTTGTACATCTACGGTACTGCGGGTTTATTTACTGATGGGTATGCGTGACTGCTTGTAAGCTAAAACAAACACAAACAAAAGAAGCCAACTGAAAGCAATAACACACAGTAGAGGCGAGTAAAGATGGGTTAAAGTAACGTACTAAGTGATCTTTTTGAAGTCCTGATCTTCAGTGGAACAACATTTGGCGCAAAAGCGAATTGAATCCATTTTAGAATAACTGTGACCTGAGTTGGGATCGAACCACTGCTGCTGAAATCCTAGCCGAGGTTCCCCTAGTATTGGAGTGAACATTTACGAAAACTCTGGAAACATTCATTGTGGTGGATCCATAAGAAGATCGGATCTTCCATCCGAGAGATTTCAAGCCTGACTGATTGTTTGAATGACCCTGTACTCTTTGTTTAGTCCTAACTATGAAATAAACTCTGGGTATTTCACTCTGTTTAGAGGAGCCTTCTCCAAGTACAGACGGTGGATTTGAGTGCATAAAAAAACGAGGTTCACGCCTAAAATCACAATTGGTTGTTTCAATGGTCTGAAATGTTTTTCTATAGGGAAGCGAAAGTGCATGTGGCACATTAGCCGGCCATAATTTTGTATACTTGAGAAAAACTTCCATTGGTTGGTGTGGGCGTGGACTTGTCCTTACTGCTACGTAGAGAAAGAGAAATTGTTTTGCATTGCTTGATTGCAGGTCTCGAGCGAGTGACGATGCTATTTCTGGGCTTGCACAACATCCGTCTCGCTTCGATGTTCCCTCGTGATCCTAAAAGGATTACACCTTGAACGTCTACGTCTAGTGATTCATTTCTTCGGTTATTGTTACTCGTTTTCTATGATCGCTTTTCGTTTTTGTTTCATTGCACATTGTTTCCCGTTTCAAGCATTGTTCGGTTTTGGAATGTTCTAGTTTGTTTTTGATCTGTTCTCTTCTAATGCGGTATTAGATATTATAAGTTATTGTATGGTAAGATGTTTTAAGATATTTATGCGCTGAGTAAAATGTGGGGTAGTGAGTCTGAGTGTACTTCCATACTTTTCAAGGATTGCCAGAGACCGCTAAGGTAACGCCGGAGGAGTTTCAGATGCGTTTAAGCATTTTAAACGTGGCCCTTGGGATTTTTATGTAGCATAATTGATAAAGTCGAGAATGTGAGTGCCATATGCTGACAATCAGAGCACAACAAGGCTCAAGGATTCCAAAGGTACAAGTCCGGTTAAAGATAACCCCGTACTTTGTAGGCGTACCTTCTTGTAAAGGGGTATGTGGCAAGAGAATCGTAATTTGCAGCGCCAGTGGGCGTCGCGTGCGACCTCGAGCCCCCTAATGTATTTATCTACATAGAACTCGATGCTCCAATCAGAAGGATAGAGCAAATGAGGAAGGCGTCGCGCCCATTGCCGCGCGCGACGAAGCGGCAATTTACCATTCTCTTGCCCGTCTTCCTTGTGCAAGTAGTGTGGCCCCATCTCTGAGATAATTCCACTTTCGCGGCTTCTAGAGCGAAGGCACTATGGCCTTCAGGAATGGCATTTCTGATGCCTCCCTAGTTGTCCCGCTCACTGAAACTCAGGGGCAGCTTCTGTCCCGATCACAGTTTTTGACTCGTATTTTTCGGTTTTTTCTTATTGCTATCTAGTGTTAGCATTGGATGACGCGAAGAAACGATTACGAGTTGGAAAACGCGAATCTCTTTTGCCGGATCACGAAGGTCGACAAACCGTCGAAACTGATAGCTGGTGGATCCTCGTTTGGGCGGGTGTACTACATGTTTTTTTTTTTTTGTTTTTTCATCCGCAGAGATCTTCTATACCCCAGAGACTATAGGTTGTAATCGTACGCCATATCCACATGGAATCGCAGTGTTTGTCTTCATTACAGTAGGAGTGAGACAATTAGCCCTGATGTTTGCTTTGTTGGGAATATATTTACCATCTGTTCTTGTGTTTTGCAGAAGATTTAATTACTTAGCTGCCTTATTCCTTGTGTTACTGATTATAGATTTTTATATATTAAGAAGGCATTATTACCAGTGACTCTGATCCCGAAATGGTCGATATGCCGAGAAGAAAATGTGTGAGCAAGAATTGGTATAGTATGCCTCGTAGTCCTAGTTGGGAGAGCGTTAGACTGAAGATCTAAAGGTCACCAGTTCGATCCTGGTTCGGGGCAATGTTTTGCAATGCAACGCATATGCTATTTCGCAAGCGTATTGTTGAATTTTAATTTCTTTTTGAGATAGAAAAGTTTAGTTAAGCACGTACCCTCGGCGGTGTGAAGAGTACTCAAACCTGAAGGTCAAAAGGCGAGCAGTTCGATTCCGGTCTGAGGCATCATTTGCTGACGTCTGTTATGATTCGGGTAGAAGACAAAGCTAGCCTGGGGAGCGTGCCACTTTTTCGCTCAAAAATGCACGGAAACGGGGCGAGTAGTGATCCCGGCTGCCGACCGCTTACTCGTCCCACTAATCGTGCAATGAAGCCACTTGCAAATCGTTTTCTTCCGGTATTTCTTTCACAAATAGTATGAAGATTAGTGGGAGTCATTCTTCAATCCGAATGACCATGATATTTTCCCCAGTCGACCCTGCTTTTATGCTGTTGCTTTATTGTTTCTTTTTTTGCTTTAAGTAGCTGTTTGATGACAGACTCTACACTCACCTTCATTTATTGTATTTTCCATGTGCGAGGTGAATGGGTACGCAACTGCAGTGGTGCCACTTTCTTTCTTTCACCAAGTGCACGGGACGGGTTTGGATGGTAGTGATACCCGTAGTAGGAAAGTAGTAAGACACTAGGAAGACAGAGACATTAGTAGGAAAGTTTCAAGACACTTATATAAATTGAAACAATGAAAACAAAAGAAACAAAGAGAAGCTCACCTATTAAATGAAGTTGCACTTATCCCGGCCTAAATAAAAGGTGAAACCATCTCCTCCTTCATATTCCAGATCCTCTTAGGTAGAGAAAGTCCTCAGTTTCCAGCTAGTAGCCATTATTAAGAGAAAAGGTATTACAAGTTGGATTTCCTTATTTATCAAAGCGAGCGGTCCAAGTAATAGTGTTGGGGCGCTCTCTGACGCGTACCGACGATCGCGGCGCGAAGTATGAACGCTGCCTGAGAGGGCGCAGACATGTAGCACGATTGGCTATGGTTATTCGAGCGGCTGGCTGTGGGACAACGCGGGAGAAGTGGGGAGGTCAGTACGGTATCACCACTCTCCAGCTCCCTTCCCGTGCATTTTCGAGAGGAGGAAATGGCACGCTATTGCAGATGCCCACCCGGTCACGTGGCACATTCAAAGGCCCGTCAGGATGTGGTTTGCTATCAATAAGCGAAAGAGGTGACGGAATTCTTCATATCCAATCGTTAGACAGAAGAGGAGGGGGTGTTGGGCTGGAGATCAGCGTATGTGGTAGTGTGCAGTAGATGCTAAGGCAGAAATGCGAACATGCTGCCGCAGGCCCATTGTCTGGTTTGTTCTCGATGCAGCCAGTGTGGACCTAGTGACTACATTCGGGTGGAACATTCCCGTGAATCGTTATAACTTACATGTTCCGGCTTCCACGCCACTCTTTCGGTGAGCGGGCTCTCTATCTCCCTTGACATTCATACGAAATGCGTTTACTACAATCTCATCACGCGGAGTGTTTTCAGAGCAGGAAGCGATTCTGTCACTCCTATGATGAATGTATCTAATTTCCTCATGAGCACAAATTTTTTCAACTTACCGGCTACTGGTAGCGAACTTGTCTGAGTGTTACAAAAATCGAAAGGAGTAGTAATGATAACGAATTCTAAGTATTGTTTGCAAAATTTATTCTAGTTTTTCATTGCATTTCATTTTGAGCCCAAGAAATACATCCAAAGAGACGGCGGTTATCAGATTTTCAGAACAGTTCAAGGCCTGATCCAGAGTGAAATGGTAAATTCTCTTTGGAAGGCTAGTGCCAATAGAATAGCACCTTTTATGACAGACGACCTGTAAGCCAAGTACAGTCCTCATCATTGCGGACCGGTGGGGCGTGTCAGCCAGTATGAGTGTGCACACTGTTGAAGCCGTTCTCAGCCTTTTTGTTGAAACGCGTATGCGACAAAAAGTGGTAGAAAACGAGTAATACGAAGGATATAATACAGTAATGTCACTTGCCCGCTTCAACAACTGGTGCAGAACGACTTTGGCAAAAACGCAGCCGCACTGACACGCCCCACCGGTCCGCAATGATGAGGACTGTAACTGTGGGCCAGTAGCCTGCCGTCCTCCTGCAAAACAAGTCCTCTGAAGTAAAATGTAAAAGTATTAGGTTGGGCGGAAAGTCCTGCGACACTTTGATTGAATTGTTCTAGAAAAAGACCAAAAAACATTTCGAATGTATTCATCCGTGATTAGAGGAGACTGTCCTCTGCCTTTCACAAGACATGCTGAGTTTATGCCAGTCCGGACCACGGACGGGGATTCGAACCCGCATACTTCTTGCTTTCCGTGCAAGGCTGCGTTTTCTTTAAAACGCCTCATCCCCACTGGCCCTTGAAAAGGGCCGGTACTTTTGCTTTTCGGCACCTCTGCCGGAAAGCAAAGGGATTTTTGCTATTTTTGCTCGAAGGGCATCATAATGCCCTTTTGAGCAAAAAACTCGTCCCTAAGGGGACTCCATGCCGGTTTTTTTTCGTGATTTCTTTGTTTTGATTTTCGCGGATTTTTTTCGCAATTTTCCATAACTCAGCAGTTCTTGGAAAAGCTTATCGGATCGCGTACTGCGGCGTAAACAGCAGTTACAAACAAAAACAGCTGTCCTCTGCGAGTTTCTGCAAATGGGTTTATTATGACGTTTGTGAAGGTTTCAAGCTTGAAAGTCCCTCCAGAGATCGGAAGCGCTTTTTCGACTATGCCCATATTTATGAGTTCCTTTAGGCCTCAGCCGTAGTCGAGGAAGTTAAAACGTAAAGATATCGCTCTCCATGGCAAGGGCAGCTTTTGCATCAGCGCTTCCAAGCTGGACTTATTTAATTCGGCGGTAGGCAATGTATAAGTCGCCACAAGAACAGAATGACGCCCTTTACTCGAGCTTGCTCGAGGCGGCAGTCCGAAGTAACCACCAGTTAAGTTGGCAACCTCTCTAGGTTCCACCTAACTGGTAGCTGCGATGCTTCTCCGCAATCTCGGTTATCGGAAAAATTTTTTGTGAAGGATGCCTCATGAGTTGGACCCGTCTGACAAGTCATACCGAATGACCGTGACTGAGTTTTCTTTTCCTTGTACACACTGGAAGAACATTTGTGAGATCTTGTGGTTGGTAGCGAGTGGTGGAGTCCCTTGCGTACATCATGCACATGTCCATCGCAGGATTTCTCACCAACGGAGAAAAGTACAAAGATTAGCTTAGTTCAAAAGATGTGGGCACCGGGGAATAAAGGAATTTCAGTGTGATTGGTGGGGCTTCGAAGCTATATCGCTGGATACTAGCACAGCTGTTAGGACCACAGTCCATTCTGGTCTACAAAACATGGATGACGTCACTTGAATTCATTCAGAATTACTCAATTTTTCTCTACTACTCGGCAATGCGAACGCTGCATGTGGGGAAAAGGCTACGCCAAAATCATGGATCTCGACCAAAGAATGCGATCGTACCCCGCTTATTTATCAAAGTTGGCCCTAATTATCACCTCCCTTGGCCCCTACATTCTTTAGAAGTCAAAAATTCCGAAAATTGCTGTCTGCACGAAAATAAGGTCCACCTCTTCTTTTTATCGTAGTTGCCGTAGTTCTATGAAAATGGGAATG